GGACTAGAGAAGTTCCTAGGCATTCACCCCAATTCCTTCTGAGCTAGGAGGGGCGTGAGCCGTCCGGAGACACAACGAGCTCAGAAGAGATTGTCAACAATAAAAGAGGGAGGGGGGAAATTTTTACACAAACCTACAAGTGATGCTCAACCTACACTCCGATGCGACGACCAGTAATGTGGAGCTCTCTCCACGCAGGGACGCCCTTGGCGGCACCCCGTGTCCTCAACCCACCCCGGACGACTCAGCTGCCGCACACACACGTTTAGGCAACCACACGATAGCTGCCGCACACACACGTTTAGGCAACTATTGGGATGGAAACGATCAGAACAGGAACTATCAGGATGGGGACTACCAGGATGGGAACTGGCGTGGGATACCCGAGGAAAGCTTAATCTATTTCTTGGGTAAAAGACTAGACCTGGGGTGCCTAGACCCAGGGTGCCCATCCCACGAACATTTGAGAGAGGAGTTGAGGGTGCGATGCCAGTCTGCAAATTAGGGTAGCCTGTTGTATGGGGTTAAGTCCCCCGCCGGGTAGGACTTGAGGTATGCAGTTAAGTTCCTGTTGGGTGGGTGGTTTTAAAGAGAAATTATGAAGTGAGGAGTAGGTGTATTCCAGACCATGTAATTTATGTTTAATTCTGGCAAGGAGTATCTTGGTAGTTTTCGAGTAGGTCTTACCAGCGTTGGGTGGTCCAGCGTTGGGTGGTCCAGCGTTGGGTGGTCCAGCGTTGGGTGGGGGTGGTCCAGCGTTGGGTGGTCTGACCCAGGACGTTTCGTTGTGTAGCAAAGGGTTGGCTGAGTTAGAAGAGACGTTAAATTCCATGGCATCCTTAGCAAAGATTGATGTGGTGGATATAAGATCATTTCTGTACCGTCTAAGAAGTTCTATGATCTTTGCCATGATAGGTACTAGAGTATCAACTTGTATGGTTTTTGTGAAAGATTGAGTGAGTCTAAAGGGTACTATTTCCGGTTCTTTTAGCAATCGCCCTTTCTCAAACATATAGCCAAAGTCTATATGGCATAATTCGCCCGTGCCTTTCTTTAGTAATATATTCCTGAGATGCCGATCACCGATACCAAAGATGTGTCCAACTGCGGAATTGGAAGCTAACGATTTGATAAAGTTATCACGGGAACGAATGTATTGGTCGTGTGTCGGGAATAATAACAACAATCGGTATGCCAAACTACAGTTGAATTGCGGTTGAATATGTTCCGTGAAAATTGTATAACGCTCCTCTTGATCTTTTGCCTTCATCAATTTTTCACAACAGTCTTTTACACTCATATTTGTCGGACTAAAGAACTCATGACAGGAACGTGCTTCGCCTGCATTCCTTGGCTCCAAATTGGACCGATCGTTAGCAACAGATTTATAGCCATATAAAATCGGGTTTCCGTCTACCAGTGCGTCCGCCAAAGTCTCCGAGTTCCCGATCGACTCAATCAAGCCACTTTCCGAGCATAAAGGGACAACGTTGTACGTCCTTATATCATGTCCCAGTGCATTAGTGATATACATGAACGTTGTCTGAACGATCTTATCTTGACGCATATCATCTGAACCTTTACATATAACTGGATAAATGTTACCCTTCAAATCAACCAACCGAATCAATTTAGGACGGCTCTTACCCATTAATACACGTACACCTGTCAGACATGCTCGGATGCAAGGATAACCAAATTTTATCATTATTCGAACACACGTGTTCGATACCGGTCCTGACGATCCATATCGTGATCCTACATGTCGTGGGGCGTTAAACAGAGAGACCGCTGTGAAAATGGGACAGCAACCATTTTTCACTACAGCTTGGTATTCGCTCAAATTTTGGTCAATGTGTTTTAGAGCCTTGTTTCGTATCAGGCACTTGAAAAATTGCCAACCAAGCTCCACGGCTTCTCTCGATTGAGCATCCACCTTGTCAATTATTCTGTCCAGCCGCACGTTACGAGCCGCTCGGTATGGTAACAGTTCTTGCAGGCAACTGTATGGCCACTGAGATGCCTGACGGGTAACTATGTCCTCGAGTATGTCATAAATGTTTTCTCCCATCGGCTCATCTCCCGCCGATTCATCTTCAGCCACGATAAGAGGTCTACCCCGCGCTGAACGTTTAGCACTACCTGATAATTTGGTCGTCGTTACCGAGGGCTTGCCTACAACCGCTTTACCTGCAGAGGATGATTTGCCTGCAGCGGCTTTGCCTGCAGCAGCTTTGCCTGCAGCAGCTTTGCTCTTCGCCCTCGTCGCAGATTTTGCGATTCCTCGGGCAGTAGACAGGGTGCCTCTTGTGCTCGAAACATATAAATCCTCTTCTCGCTTGTCCTCTTGCTCCTTGTTTTGGTGTTCGGTCTCCGTAAAAAGTATGCCAATGAAACGGTGCGTCCACGGAATGAGGAACTTCAGGGCGTTTCCTACAAGACATTTGAGGGATTCAAGCACTCCTGGGTTCGTGGCAAAGCCACTCACCACACTCACTAGCCACGATGCCAAACGAAAAGCCCGGGCCGTCTCCTCTTGTTTCAAATAGCCACATGTGAACCAACAATTTACCAACCGCACGCAATGACTCAAGTGTTCCAGGATCTGGCCATCATGCTTTGCACATTGGGCCGGCACATAGGATTCCAGAAACCTCTCCATCACACTAACATTAAAGTCCACAATCTCACCAATGAAATCAACATACTGATCCAATACTGACGTGCATACTTTCACATCCCGCAGTTGACCCGTAATCTTACTCACACACTTCTCAGGGATGATGAGGTTAGACCCCACGATGGGGTTAGACCCCATGATGGGGTTAGACCCCATGATGGGGTTAGTTTCCACAGGAATAAATTCCTCGGGAATAGACCCGCTCATAGACTGGACCCGAAGACCTGCAGACCCGCCATCCTTCGCCTGTGCGGCCCGAAGCAATCCCACTGCGCAGCATAAGCTACTCAGCTTCAGACCGACGTTGTGGGCATGCGCCTCGGCAGTCTGATCAACACACCTTTCGAAAGCGAGTCGATCAGCTGAGATCTCGATCAGCTGCAAGTCAACCCTGCCAGTCAAGTCATGCTTCGTTCGGTCTCGCCCCGTCAAACCCTGCCCCTTCAGGCCAGTATAGGTTACCGGTTTCGCGAGGTCAAGAGGAGGCAGCCGGCCTACACGTTCCCCGGATGTCCAAGCGTTCTTCAGTATCCCTATCTCACCATACAGAGCCTCCACTTCCTCCACACACTTCTTTTCGTTCGGGTATAACTCCATATGGTCCCGATATACTGAGAAGATACGTCGGAGTTCCTGAACAGGGTTGGTCGCAACTCTGACCCCACCTTCCTGTGCAACTTCTGTGTCCTGTGCATGGTTATGCGCATGGATGGGTGCTCCCGGGTGGCCTTGATCTGGAGGTCTACAAGACCTGACATCATCACAAAAAACCACATCTCTTGGGGATTCCAATGCCGTCCGCCGGGGAGTAGCCGTGGTAACTGGGGAGTAGCCATCGGGGAGGTCGGTGGCCTCCGACACCGACGCCAACAGGGACTGCAGCTCACGGGCTGAGACGTTTGCTGGTGCTGCGGGGGCGCTCGCAGAGTACGCAAGACAGAATTCATGCCACTGATACGGGGTGAGATGACCACCGGTGGGGTCATCACGGGTGGAGTCATCACGGGTGTAGTCATCACGGGTGTAGTCATCACGGGTATAGTCATCACGGGTGTAGTCATCACGGGTGGGATCTTCCTCGACTATTGGGGGGGCGGGCTGGCAAGCGTATCTCATCAAGGATGATTGTAAATGGGGGAATACCGATCCAAGCCAGTAGCTGAGGTTTGTATTCTGGAGTTGCTCTTGAGACTGCATTTTGTGAGAGATAAAGCAATGGCCAGCGAGAATGAACTTCCAAGAAACAGTTTGTCCAACACTGACGGAGACCCTCGATTCCGATGTCAATTCCGGTGTCGATTCCGGTGTCGATTCCGGTGTAGATTCCGGTGTCGATTCCGGTGTCGATTCCGGTGTCGATTCCGGTATCAAGAGCATGTTCGAATACGCGTAACCGAATGCTACCGTCCATAGAAGGACCCGCACGGGAATTGAACCATCGTCCGTCTGATAGTAGGCTTCCGGCATGCCCACTTGGTCGCAAAACACTTTAGGATCAAACGCCCAATTCATCAAAAGATCATTTAGCAGACCATTATTTCCATCTTGCAAGTATCGACGCAACTGTAATAACACTGTTATAAAACCGAGGCAGAACAACGGGGGGGTCGGGGGGGTCG